TGTGAACCACTCTTTGGTCTCCTGAAGAAAAGAAAGAAATTCCAATGGGATGGCCGATGCCAAGCAACTTTCGAGCAGATCAAACAATACTTACAGAACCCACCTGTGTTGTCACCACCTGAGCCAGGAAAACCGTTGATTCTGTACCTTTCAGTGACTGAAACTACAATGGGCTGCATGCTCGCACAAGAATCTGAGGATAAAGTAGAGGGGGCTATCTACTATCTGAGCAAGAAAATGCTGGAGTACGAGACCCGCTACACCCCGCTGGAGAAGGCTTGCCTAGCCTTGGTATGGGCTACCAGGAAGCTGCGGCACTACTTGTTAGCTCACTCCGTAATACTGGTTTCGAGATTAGATCCCATCAAATATCTCTTCGAGAAACCAGCGCTTACGGGTAGGCTAGCCTGTTGGTTGCTTCTGCTTTCCGAATTCGATCTAAAGTATGTGACGCGCAAGTCAGTAAAAAGGAGAGCGGTAGCAGAATTCCTAGCCGATCACCCAGTTGAAGGGGATGAAGCAGTTGAGTACCTATTCCCAGACGAGGCTATCCTGCATATCGAAGACGAAACTTGGACGATGTACTTTGATGGAGCGTCAAACCAATATGGGTATGGGATAGGGGTGTTGCTGATAGCACCTGACAATTCCCGTATACCCCTAGCATTCAAACTCCGGTTCAAAGTATCAAACAATGAAGCAGAGTACGAGGCATGTATTGCCGGTTTAGAAGCCGCCCTAGAACTAGGGGCAAAATGGTTGGACATCATCGGGGACTCGAACCATGTTGTATCTCAAGCTAAAGGAGATTGGAAAGTCAAAGACGAAAAGATGAAAATCAATCACCAAGCCTTGGACGTGCTAATTCCTCGGTTTGAGAAACTGAATTTCGCCCATCTGTTAAGAGAGAACAACAGGTTCGCAGATTCACTAGCAACTCTATCTTCCATGGTAGACATCCCTTTCAGAGTCCAGATGCGTCTGATCATCATCGAACAGAAGTTTGTGCCGGCCTACGAGCTGCTTGCTGCCATAGATGAAGTATAAGATGAGAATCCTTGGTATTAAAACATCGGGAACTTCTTAGAAAAAGAGGCGTATCCACCAGGAGCAAATGCCAAAGATAAGAGGGCAATTCGAAGAATGGCTGCTCAGTTCATCGTCTGCGGGGGTAAACTGTACAAGAGAGGTCATCTCGGGATGCATAAACTGTGTGTTGATGCTGAGGAATCCAAGCGCCTGATAGAGGCCATCCATGGAGAAGAGTGCGGAGCACACATGAACGGGGTGATGCTAGCCCGGAAGATCCTTAGACAGGGTTACTACTGGTCCACCATGGAGGAGGATTGTATTGGCTTTGTTCGGCGATGCCACAAATGTCAGATCCATGCAAATCGCATGAACATTCCGCCGTCGAAGCTATACAACATGACTTCGCCATGGCCGTTTTCAGTCTGGGGGATTGATGTGATTGGAGCTGTCATTCCAAAGGGGTCCAATGGGCATGAGTACATTTTAGTAGCGATAGACTACTTCACAAAGTGGGTCGAGGCCCAATCTTATGCAGTGTTGAAGGCGTCGCATGTTGCAAAGTTCATCAGGAACAACATCATCTGTCACTACGGGGTCCCAAACGAGATCATTTCAGATAATGGTTCCCACTTTAAAAAGGAGGTGGTCGACTTGTTGGATAAGTATAACGTGGTTTTCCATAAGTCATCTACATATCGGCCACAAACCAACGGAGCAGTCGAGGCCGCCAACAAGAACATCAAGCACATATTGCAGAAGATGGTGGAAACCTACCGGAATTGGCCAGATAAGTTGCCATTTGCTCTATGGGGCTACCGGACTTCAATTCGAACTTCTACCGGAGAACCTCTGTATTCCTTGGTCTATGGGATGGAGGCTATTTTGCCTATCGAAATTGAAGTCCCGTCATTACGAGTACTGGCTGAGTGTCAGATAGCTGAGGCTGATTGGCAACAGAGCAGGTTCGAAGAACTCATGTTGTTTGACAAAACAAGGCTGAAAGCACTGTACCATGTTTAGGGTTATCAACGCAGAATTGCCAGGGCTTTCAACAAGAAGGTTAAGTCCAGGAATTTGAAGGAAGGGGATCTAGTGCTCAAAGACAACCGAGCTCTCATCCATGACCCTAGGGGCAAGTTCAGACCCAATTGGACTAGCCCTTACATCATTAAGCCTATCTGGTCGAGCGGAGCTGTCGTTCTGATGGACCTAGATGGTCTAGAGTTCTCCCAACCGATTAACATGGACAAGTTGAAGAAATATTTTCCTTGAGTGGCTCGCTAGGCCGAAAACCCGAAAGGGCGACCTAAGCAAAAGTTAGAGCATGAAAAAATTGAAACTATAAAAACTGAACTCGCAAGGTTGAAAACCCGCAAAGGGCGGCCTTGGCAAAAGTTAAAGCGCAAAAAGAGAGTGTTAATACACGAGTGAACCTGAGCCAAACTACGTAAGGCTTGATTCCCATCTTTGGGATACGTAGGCAACTTCATTCTGAAGTCCAGCCATAAACACTTTCCCGATCAACTTTGTCCATGTGATCATGTTTGGTCTATTCTGCGTTCAAGAGCTCGGTTGTGATCTCCAGTGCAGTGCTACTCAGACTAGGGGCAACTTTCCAGTTGCTGGAATCCGGGGTTGTGCATCTCAGTGATAGATCTTAGGCGTGTCCAGTTCTGATCCATATCGAAAATGGTTTTGAAAAGTTTTAATAAAAGTTGATTTTGTTCAAATTAACCTTTTTACAACTTAGACCATTTTTGGACCAAACGGAAAATTTTCAGTACCCACAACCTTCAATACAGAGTTCTCCTACTCTTGAATACAAATTGAAGTTGCTTTTCATTACATTCATAAAGAAAACTTGAAAGTTTTGATTAAAGCAAATAAATCCGGGGCATAGTCAGGTGTTCCTGTGCCCCTTCCCAAAGCTGGTCGAAGCCTCTAATACTAAAGTAGGCCCAGTCTGCGCCTCCTCAAAAAGCCAAGCTACACACTCATCAGAGAGAGTACAACTGAAAGTGGGAGCGGGGGCCAGAAGCTCTCTAGTTCTCCATGTCGTGGCATACCGAGCTAGCTGCGCGCCTCGGACCGAAAATGTAGTAGGGTACTCTATCCCCTCCTCCGGACAAGTCTGATCATGTTCAAACTGGCGCCAGAACCGGAAAGGAAAATAGAACACACAGTGTGTCAAGCCAATCATCTGAATCCCGGGCTGGCGAGTCATACTGTAGCTCATTGCCGGCAGATTGAGCCAAGGGCACCGCCAAGCAATGCGGTCTGCGAACAAACTGCACATCTAGTCAAACCACCATCCCTCATCAGGGGAATCGACTAGACGTCGTCAAGAGAAATAGCTGCGAGCTGAATATGCAAGGTAGGAGTCCACAATCTTCAATTTTTCCATCAACCATATCTGGGATTAAAAATGAGAGATTAAAGAATAGAGAGGTGTATGTTAAGAGAAAAAGTGAGAAAAGGGTTTTAAGAGAAAAACCGAGCCTGAGGGCCGAGTGATGTGAGAAATATATGTGAGATAGGGTGGGAAACATTACCTGCAATAGTAGTGGACTCCCCGCAAACCTAGCCGTCTCCCGGCGATGAAAAGCATCCAAGCCTATCAATGTCTCAGCTAATGTCATGGCGATGTAGCTCTTGCCCTCTCTTAAGCCTTGGGCGACTTCAATCAAGCGAGTGCTAAACCCACCAGAGCCTGGGGCAAGTAAGAAATGAGACAACATGCACAAGCAAAGTGCATGTCGCCGATGACCCTGCCAGTCATGGTCGTCGCGGTCACCGGCATCAGAAAACCGACAAATCAAGCTGGGGATATCCAGCACTCCATCGTGAGTCAATGATCGAGCGTCATGCAAAGTGAGCCCACACATCCATCCTAAGGCTTGGACGTGGCCAAAGTGAAATTGCGGCAAAATTTCTTCCTCGCGCTCGGATTCCATTAAAGCTTGGAAGTCTTCAAATGTGGGACACATCTCTTGTCCACCAAAGTTAAAGACGTGTCACCGGGTTCCAAAACCTTGCCGCGGCATGGAGAAACGGAAAACGCAGCAGGGTGCGGCTCAACGTGAACAGTGCATTTATGCCAAAGCCCCGAAAATTCACCTTTTCCAAGCCGTCCAAGGAAACAATCCAATTTGTGAGATTTTGGATGAGAAACGCCTCCATTTTGGTGCAAAAACTGAGTTGGAATGAGGGAACCACGAAACTGGAACCTTTATGGAGGATAAGGCACTGTTTGGAGGACAAGTGTCACAAAACTGGAGGCTTTATGGAGGATAAGGCACTGTTTGGAGGACAAGTGTCACAAAACTGGAGGTTCCCAGAATAAGTGGTCGGCTGACCACTTTTTATGTTCGACCAGCTACTTTTTTGGGCTGCAGACAGAAAAACTGGTCGACAGGCTCTAAAAGTGGTCGACCATGTGCAAAAAGCTGGTTTCCAGCTGTTTCTTGTCTCTAGAAGGGAGTCTCTAGCTTTCCTGTGTGCTGAGAGTACTGAAGGTCCAAGTTTGCCTCTGTTTCGGATGCATTTTGTCGATTTGTTTGTCTCAAAATGCATTCGCTCTTCGAGTTGTTAAATTTTGCTTATCGAGTTGTTAAGTTTTTGCTTATCGAGTTGTTAAGTTTTACTTATCGAGTTGTTGCTCTTTGTTTATCGTGTTGTTGCTCGTTGCTTATCGAGTTGTAAACTTGCTAAGGTATTGTTTCTTAGTGAGTTAAGTTGTTTAGTTTGTTACGTCGGTTCACTACCTGACTTGGCAATACACAGGGTTTAATTTTCATTCAAATTCATTTTTGTGTAAAATGGTGCGATGCGATGCTCAGAATAAAAGTACAACACTTTTTTTTTAACGAAAAGCCATTTTCATTCCATCATAGCTTCTTTTTACAACATTTTACAAAAGGGTACAAGTTTTGGAAGAAAAATAAAACTGCCTAAGCTGTACAATGTGCTACAACTACATGTAAAAAGAAAAATAAAGCAAGAATATATGCGTCAGTGCCATCAAGCTCAAGACCGAGAGGCCCTCTTCACCCTCTTCGGCTGAGCAGCCTCCGCGCCACCAGCACCGGCACTATCATCTGAATGGGAGTCACCGTCCTCGGAAACCTCCTCGGTGTCGCCTCCGCCCTCCGAACCGGAACCTGAGTCATCGTCCCTACCTGCAGATGTCTCAGATTAAGGATATGCCGACTCCTCCTCCTCGCTAGACTCCTCATCATCCTGACTGACAGGTGCTCTGCGTCTGCCTCGACCGCGTGCTGAAACTCCTCTTCTAGCTACTCGAGAAGGCCTGGATGGCCCAGTCCGCAGAGGCGGGACCTGAAAAGGACAATTTGAATGTGTCAGCCAGTATGTATATCAGATGCAGATGTAAGAATCACATAGAGTGGGTACATGCAGATATAGTGTGTGAATGCGATGTGTCAGATGTGCTCTACACATGGAATGAATCAATACAGTGAAATGTTCAATTTCCATATGTCATCAGAAACATGATAAATGTGAGGAAATTAAAAAGTACCTGAACGCCGGAGGCACAAAGCATTGTCTCCCTCCTCAGAACCATACCCTCGAGTGAAGCCACCACTCCGAGTAACCCCTCAGTATACTCCCTGGGAGGCTGCACACACAAATTCAAGTCATCAGTAAATGAATGAATATCTAAATATCTGAATGATAAATGAAGACTGTAAAGCATACCGGTGGTGAGTCAGGGTCACTGATGTATCGGTGATCTGGCCGCGGAGGCTCTAGCAGGATCTGGTATGGTGTCCCATACTCCCAACCTGTCAACCCGATTGGAAGATATAGCCATCCGGCATACTGGTAAGTAGAGGGCATCCATCCAGCCCCACCCCTCGATGTGCCGGCTCCGCTGGTCAAAGGAATGCCTCTAGCTCGGGCGTGACCCAAGGAAGGCACGTCAGCAGTCCTCCTCCTAGAGGCACGGACATTTGACAGTGGAGGCATCAAGTATGTATGGCAATATGTCGCGTAATCCCCCTCCTCCAGGAAAAGCACCGCGTCAATACCCAACATGAGGTCCTCCGTCTTTCGGGGAATGAGATCCCTAGCAAACCGCATCTCTGGTAGAGGCAATGAGGAGACGTCCTAATCAGAGTTCCCCATCGTCTGGCGCATGAAGCGCTCTCCGAGGAACCACGCTCTGCCAACCAGTCCCTCAAGCAGAACCCTGTATCGCGAAGTGCCCCATGCCCCAGCGAACAGAAACCGAGGATTCCCTGGCATGGCTATCCAAGGCTGCCAGTTAACCTGCGGGTAGCAAGTGCATAAATTGATTAGATGTCATAAATATGTGAGATGAATCAAAACTGAAAGCATGACGAACTGAGAGTTCTGGATTACCTCTGTCGTCCGTACAGTATCGAAGAATTGCTGGAGGAAGGGCAAAGTCTGCTGGGGCCTCGGCCGGCACAGACCCTCAAATCTGCGCGAGTGGGGGATCTCAAGGGGTGCCTCAACCTCGAACTCAGGAGCCAGCGTCGGGAATTATGCATAAACCCACAGCTGTAAAAAGCAAGACAGTGGCCGTCAGAACACAGAATGCTGAGTGCAGAATGTTGTGTGTGGTATACAAAATGTACAGAAAATACAGAATGCTGAGTGCAGAATGCTGTGTGCAGTATACAGAATGTACAGAGAATACAGAATGCTGAGTGCAGAATGGTGTGTGCAGTATACAGAATGTACAGAGAATACAGAATGCTGAGTGCAGAATGCAGAATGCTGTGTGTAGTATACAGAATGTACAGAAAATACAGAATGCTGAGTGTAGTATACAGAATGTACAGAGAATACAGAATGTTGAGTGCAGAATGCTGTGTGGAGCATACAGAATGTACAGAAAATACAGAATGCTGAGTGCAGAATGTTGTGTGCAGTGTACAGAATGTATAGAGAATACAGAGAGCTAAGTGCAGAATCAGAATACAAAATGCTGAACGCAAAGAGCTGAGTGTAGAATGCAAGTACAGAAAAATACAGAATGCTGAGTGCAGAGAGCTGAGTGCAGAATATACAGAAAATGCAAAATGTTAAGTACAGAATGTAGAATACAAAATGTAATATGTGCCGTGTGTAGTGTACAGATAATCGAAAGCAGAACTGTAACTCAAGAGGGCAGAATGTACCTCCCAGGCTCACCAGTAGCCTCCAACTATGGTCCCCCGCTCACGGGAGGTTGCGCTCATGTAGCAGTAAAGGGTAGCAAGGCCCGCGCCACCCCAATCATACTGACTGACCCGTGATAAGTCCACCAGAGCACTGAGCAGATAAAGCCCAACTGTGTTCCCCCTGTCGGAGAACAGTGTGGTCCCGAGGAGGAACATCAAGAATCCCTGGGCGTACTGCTGTATGGTCTCAATGGTCTGGGGCGAAGTCCCCCTGTATTGCTCGGCAAACCAGGTGTACCTGACCCTACCCGATGATCTGTCGATCGGCAGACGGGCTCCGAGCAGATAAATCCAACCGGCCTCTTACTCGCCCATATCTGTGTCGTATAAGATCGGCCGGCCTGCCACATCAAGGCCCGTCAACATGGAGAAGTCATATTGGATCATCGTCATGTCCCCAGTTGCAGAAAAATGGAAGGAGTTGGTGGTGTCCCACCACCTCTTTACAAGTGCGCCTAAGAGGGTCCTACTCGCTGGATGACGTGACAATCCTGCACAGAATAGGCCAAACCCTGCCTCGTCCATAATGTGTCAGACAGTATCCGGGAGCTTCGCGTACCACTCCCTCGCAAGCATAGATCCATAACCCCGTGTGAAACAAGAGGACACCTGCATTCAGAATGAATAGATGTATTCAGTTCAGATTCAAATGTATGGGCTACGTGTTCAGAATCAAATGTATGGGCTACGTGCAAATGCAAATGTATGAGCTGCGTGTTCAGAATCAAATGTATGAGCTGCGTGTTCAGAATCAAATGTATGGGCTGCATGCAAATACAAAATTTTTGAGCTGCGTATTCAAAATTTCAAAAAACGTGAACTACGTGTTCACAACAAAATTTTTAAGCTGCGTGTTCAAAATTTCAAAAAACGTGAGCTGCGTGTTCGCAACAAAAATTTGGGCTGCGTGTTCACAACAAAATTTTTGAGCTGCGTGTTCAAAATTTCAAAAAACCGTGAGCTGCGTGTTCGCAACAAAATTTTTGAGCTACGTGTTCAAAATTTCAAAAACAAAAAAAAAACGTAAGCTACGTGTTCAAAACAAAATTCTTGAGCTGCGTGTTCAAAATTTCAAAAAAAGATGTCAGCTGCGTGTTCACCAAAAAATGTGAGCTGTGTGTTGACCAAAAATTTCAACTGTGTGTTCACCAAAAAATTTGAGCTGCGTGTTCAAAATTTCAAAAAATGTGAGCTTGTGTTTACCAAAAATTTGAGCTGCGTGTTCAAAATTTCAAAAGATGTGAGCTGCGTGTTCACCAAAAATTTGAGCTGCGTGTTCAAAATTTCAAAAGATGTGAGCTGCGTGTTCAAAATTTCAAAAAAATGTGAGCTACGTGTTCACCACAAAAAATTTATGCTGCGTGTTCAAAATTTCAAAAGATGTGAGTTGCGTGTTCACCACAAAAAATTTGAGCTGTGTGTTCAAAATTTCAAAAAATGTGAGCTGCGTGTTCACCACAAAAAGTTTGAGCTGCGTGTTCAAAACTTGAAAAATGTGAGCTGCGTGTTCACCACAAAAAGTTTGAGCTGCGTGTTCAAAACTTAAAAAATGTGAACTGCGTGTTCACCGCAAAAGTTTGAGCTGCGTGTTCAGAAATTCAAAAGTTTGAGCTGCGTGTTCAAATTTCAAAAATGTGAGTTGCGTGTTCACAACAAAAGTATGAGCTGGGTGTTCAGAAATTCAAAAGTTCAAGCTGTATGTTCAAAACGCAAAAGTGTACTGTGTTAGGAGCTGAGTTGGGTGTTCAGAAATTCAAAAGTTCGAGCTGTATGTTCAAAACGCAAAAGTGTACTGTGTTAGGAGCTGTGTGCCAATCAAACAGAATGTTTTGTTATGGACTCCGTGTTCAAATTGAGCAGTGTTATGAGCTGTGTGCCGATCAAACAGAATGTTGTGTTATGGACTGCGTGTTCAGATTGAGCAGTGTTATGAGCTGTGTGCCAATCAAACAGAATGCTGTGTTATGGACGGCGTGTTCAGATTGAGCAATGTTATGAGCTGTGTGCCGATCAAACAGAATGTTGTGTTATGGACTACGTGTTCAGATTGAGCAGTGTTATGAGCTGTGTGCCGATCAAACAGAATGCTGTGTTATGGACTGCGTGTTCAGATTGAGCAGTGTTAGGAGCTGTGTGGCGATCAAATAGAATGATGTGTTATGTACTGCGTGTTCAGATTGAGCAGTGTTATGAGCTGTGTGCCAACAAAACAGAACGTTGTGTTATGGACTCTGTGTTCAGATTGAGTAGTGTTATGAGTTGTGTGCCCAAATATGCTGTGTGCCCAAATATGCTGTGTGCTCAAATATGCTATGTGCCCAAATATGTTGTGCGCCCAAATGAGCTGTGCGCAAATTAACCAAACGTTGTGTAGTGAGTTGTGTGCCAAGTCAGTAGAATGTTATCTACGAACTGTGTGTTTAGAATGAGTGAAGTGCTGTGTACATGAATATGTTCATGACAAGCAGACAGGATACATAGCGAAAATACATCGCAGAAAATGTGCAAATGTAGTACGTACCTCATGCGCGTGATGAGATAGATGGGACGCGGGCTCCCATAGCAGCAAGTCTGTAGGTGCCCGCCGCGCGAAGTCCGTGAAGTGGTAGAAGGTGCTAGGAGGAAGGATATGCTCCTCTGGGTCGTACCCCTCAGGGTCGAATGGTCGTATCCTCGGAGGCAATGGTATGATGTCGGGCTCATCCTCTGCATATGGAAAGCCTCTGCCATACGGAATATCATCGGCCATCTGAAGAAATTTACAAAAGATGCAAAAACGAGTGAAATAAGCCAAAATCGCAAAAAGTCAATAAAAGTCAACTCTCGGGAAGAGAAAAAGTCAACAAAACTCAACGCCCGAGAAAAGGTACCAAACTTTGAGACAAACATACCTCAAGTGGTGAAAATGGAGAAAGAGGCTCTGAAAACAAATTCTAATCGGTGCAAATCGAAGAAAATTGAAAGTTTTTGCGAAACAACTTCGCGTGGGGCGTTGGAAAACGCGTATAAAGTGCAGATCTGAGAGAGAAAAGGGTCTAGGGAGCAAGAAGAATGTATTTCGGCCTTGGAGGTGTGATACAAACTGATTTGGAGTTGTGTACTTAAATAACCGAAGCTTAAAAGACCAAACTGCCCCGAAATTCTGTAAACCGGTCGACCAGCCAGTTTTTCTGGTCGGCCGACCACTTTGGTGAGCGACAACTGGTCGGCCAACTTTATAACTGGTCGGCCAGCTTCCTGGATGATCTTCAGAGCTCCATTGTTCTCCCTGTGTGTTTTGGTGATGATTGGAGTCCCCAGTTCTCAAGAAACTACAAGAAAGGTACACTTTTCAGCTCAAAAATGTCCCCGCAGAACTCCGATTCAAGTCTTCGATGTATGCCTCATCGTCACTCGACCAAAGAGCAAGATGTATCCTTTTTAAGTATCTTACGGCCCTTCCGAGAGGTAAATCGGAGGTCATCGTTGAATTGCGCTTGTTAAGGCTTACGTTTCCTCTTTCGGCATTTCCTTTCAAACATACATCTGAAGTTGCGCATTTCTTTCGCATTATCTTGCACTTTTCGCACGCGTTGTCGCGCATGTTTCACTTGCACTGTTATGTACACCACTTGTGGCTTTGTTACACACTCACTACTTGTGTTGGCACGCTCGTTTCGGCTGCATTGTTTTGCATCCATACCGCATTGTTATGCGTCACACTTAGGTTGCATTGTCATGCATCCCTCGACTTGTGTTATTATGCACTTTTCACTTGCATTGCTATGCATGTTTCTAACAATATTGTACCTGTTGAGTTTCTCTCTTTCCCAGGCACGATATTGTATGTATGGTTCATTTGAAGCTAGCACGACCAGACGAACCCGACGATATTGTATTCTCCGTGTGAGACATAGTGAGAATTGTATAATTCTTTTACATCCTTTCCGCATGTAATGTAGTTTGGTTTGTATTCGCTTGCTTAAACATTTGCATTTATTTTTGCATAATTGCTTCGTTACAGCTTTCTTTGCATGATCATAAGTTATGTTCGGCTTTGTACATGTCCCTTGCATTTTGCCCCTGCCTACAGTCACATTTCTTTGTTATCTTGCATGTTTGTCTAAGTCTTCGGCCTTGTCAAAAATGGGTCGTCTCTGTACTTTGACACTCACTCCCGTCACTTGTGACTTCCGAGTTCTGTCAAAGAAGGGCAACTGTAGACACCCCATTTTTGACCGACCTTAAGACTCAGACGTCATCGATTGAGCGCTCGGTGATGGTGCATATTGTGCTCGTTCTGAGGTTTCAGAGTTTTGGCTGAGAGCCTTGCCTCCAGGCCTCAGAACTCTTTTTGCTTTGGCTCGGTTTGCGGACCATGTCTTGTTTTCCCTGCCCGGAGGGAGGGAGTGGTCTTGTAGACCATCTATCTATGGTCGTAGACTACTTTTCGTGGTCGTAGGCCACTTTTCTCGTTTGGAGACTAGTTTCCGATTTTTGGAGCCTTTGGTCGCGCGCCTTGTCTCGGGACCGCTTAACATTCTCTATTTGGTGTTGTTTTTTAACCACACCTTATTGCCTCTACCTAGAGGAACACTGTGGTCCGGGAGACCACTTTTGTGGTTGCATACCACGTTTGGTGCTCGTCAGCTAGTTTTTGGAGATTTCGGTCGCGTGCTTTGCCTCCCGATTTCTCGTCTTGCATCCGCTTTGGTTTGTTTTTTGTACAAACCTTGTTTTCCTTGTTTGGAAGGTGGTACAAGTGTGGGAGACCAGTATTTCTCCTTGGAGACCACTTTTCCTTTTTCCAGCTTGTTTTCTTGTCGGATAACTGGCATTCTTGGCCTTTAGACCATCTTTTCTGGTCGGTCACCACACCACCACCTTGCATTTAGTGTGTTGACCTCTCCCACCTATGGCCGACCAATTTTTGCTCTGGTTGACCACCTAAAGTGGTCAGCCGACCACTTTTACTAGCAGGCCGACCACTTCAAGTGGTCGGCTACTTTTTGGCACCTTTTTGGAGATATTTTAGGACAACCGGCACAGCTCGAAAGCATTTGAGCCATCCTCCATACACGTGTATGGAGGGATGGCATTCAAGCTTAACTTCTCCAAGAAGCTTTGGAGCTTAACTTCTCCAAGAAGCTTTGGCTTTCCTCTTCTATAAGAGGGAGGCTCCTCCTCCATCCTCCAGGTTCAGAATTTTGCCCCAAGAGAGTTACATATAGCTTTGTCTCTATATCACTCTTATTCTTCATTTTTGTGTTCAAAAGTGTAGATTTGTCTTACTTTAACACACAAACACACACTCAAACACCATCCTTTTCCTACTGAGGTGCTTAGGGGCTGATTTTGGTGTTCTTGGGTTGCCTTGAGCTTGAAAAACCTGCTGGAGTTGCAGTTATAAAAAGGGTCTTCAAGGGTGAGCTTTTGACCTTTAAATCTCCCTTTCCTGCTTAAGCTTTTAGCCTATCTTACATGTTGTTTTAAGCTTAGCTCATAACTAATAAAAGTTTTATTTTTGCATGCTTAAAAAGTTTGTTTGAGATCACTTTTGTGTTTGGG